ATGATGTGCCCTGTAAACTTTCACTCAATCCACAATAAAAACCTTAAATAAATAAATAAATAAATGGAGCTTCTTAAGATCCAGGTGTTAGTGTAGATATAAAAGTCCTTGTGAAGTAAGCTAAAATAAAACCAAAATGCAGGGGTTTTCACATGACTTTGTACAATTGACACATGGAAAGGACATTACTTGTTCAATTTAGCTTGACTTTGGAGTTGCCAATAAATAGATCTTGGGTCAGTTTTCATGGCATTTCAGTGTGTCCCACCATGATCATATCGTCTCCAGCCTGAAGATCAGCACTGTCTGTATTTAGATGTTTGTGGTTCCATGCCATGAAGTTGGTTCTCACAGTCACCCTGTGTAGGGTTTCCCAGGAGCGGATCGTGGGTTTCAACCATTCACCTTGTGGTTAGCAATCCAGTGTTGACCTCACAGCACCACATGCTGTTATTGTTAAATGCCTTCTAGTGGGTTCTGACTCACAGGGAACCACTATAGAGTTTCTGAGGAGTAGCTGGTGAGTCCAAATAACTGACGTGGTATTATTATGGTTAATCCTTCAAGATTTAATCCATGAATTCTATCTTATTTAGTTTTGCCTCTTTTGTGCTTTCTGTCAATTGAAGTATTCCTCTGTCTTGGTTCTAAAGAGACTTTCCTTGGGATGCTTTTGAGATTCATCCACGTTGGTGTGGGCAGCTGTTCTTGTGAGTGTTGCTGAATGTGGGTGGTTCTGGTGTCATTTTGCTTCTAGTGAGTGTAGTGGCTCATGTGTACACTCTCGGCACTGATGGGAGACAGCTGAGTGCTGAGCATGTGGCCCAATGAGGTCCTCACTGGCAATGCTTCCAGCCCCCTTCTCCCTGCAGTCTGAATCCGGATCCGAAGCGCGGGATTGGTGAATCCATTGGTGTCCTGGGATTAGCACTGCACTGCTGTCCTCAGGGTCGGCAGTTCAAGCCCACCAGCTGCTCCTAGGAAACCTGATGGAGGGAGGATTGATGTGGGTGGGACCGACTTGGTGGCACATGGAAATATAAGGTTGTTATGAGTCCAAATTCACTGTAAAGTGATGGATTTGGGATTGTAGATAACTGGAGTGTCTGTCCTCTTCAGTGGGGAAATCTGGACATGAATCCTTGTGGGGTCAGCTCTGTGCTGAAGGACTGCCTTTCTGCACTGTCTCGGAGTTGTTAGGGCCTCCCCTGCCCCACCTAGTGCTCCCTGCTTGTGGAGATTCTGGTTGATCTATGGAAGGTGATAGAATGGCTTATTCACAACAGGAATGTGATCTGCTCATCTCTCTCATTTCTGGTGTATTTTATAATTGTTGTAGACCATACACAGAGAAGGATAAACTGCTGCCGTTCACAGTAAAATTTTGAAGAATCTGTTTCAGGCTGCGCGGAGTTTTTGTGACAAGATGTAGTCAGTGATTTAGTGAATGTAGTCAGTGACGGGAGGAAGCCAGTCAATGTTCTTTGAGCAACTCTCGCGAGAGCACAGAAACTGGTGTTATGTACGTGTGGATTCTAAGGGTCTCAGGAATGGCAGCCTCACCTTTTGTTTTAGACATGTTGGCGTAGGTGCTGCCTTGCTGATTGAGACTGTGTGGGATGTTTTAGGGTCCAGTGATCATTGAAGATGTGGCTGTGGTCTTCACCCACGAAGAGTGGGATTTTGCTGGATCCTGCTCAGAGGAAACTCTACAGAGACGTGATGATGGAAACCTTGAAAAACCTAGCTTCAGTCGGTATGAATGGCATCTTCCTTTTTCTTTTTTTTTTTATTCCTTTAGTGAACAAAAATATTTTACTCATCAACTGTGCTTGATTATATGGAATGAGCTATGGGAACACCCTTTAAAATAAAAGGCATGGTCCCCTTCTATATAGAGCTCATGCATCCAGGATTCCCCTAATAGAAAGCTCTATGCACTAAACTGAGCTTTCATTTCTCTTGTAAATTTAAAAATGTCTTGGGCCTCTCTAAGTGCCATCAGCATAGCATTAACTTCAGGGAACACTTTGATGCACTGAGAGACTTGTCTTGTGGGTGCCTTTCTGAGAGTTTTTTTGGGTTTCTGACAAGTTTGATTTCAAGTTTGAGCTTCTAGAGAACAGATCACTATCTCTGTGGCAAGGAATCTTTTATTGGTCATCAAGGTCTTCATTGCGATGTACATTTCTCCATGAACTCCATGTTGTTTTGAACTGTCATCACCTCAGTTTTAATGGTGAGGGAACTTGTGTACATTTTCCTAGAGGCAACTTGGGGATTTATCCTACACCACCACACTGGGAGTCCTGAGCTCCGTGGTAGCTCTAGCCATTTGTTTTCTCAGAGAAGCTAAGGAAAAATCTCAGGAGAGTGGAAATAATTAGTGCTTCACAAAATCTCAGGAGGTGTCATAACATCAAAATACACTCTATTGAGGGAGCTCCAAATATTTCATGGAAAACTCAATCGTCTTTCAATTGCTTCATTTTGTCAACAATTTTGATTGAGTAATTGCTGGACAAACAAAGGTTGCATATGCATTTCCTAACAGTCAAATCTCTTTCCTTTTAAATTGTGAGTCAATTAAGAAACTGTCAGTAGTGTTCCATTCAGATATGGTGGCAGGCTGCACAGCTCTAAGTGTTTGTTGATCTCCAGAGTCCTATGACATATCTCTTCTGTGATGTAAGATTCTTGGTATCCATGCAGGTGTTTGGTGTTGCAGGAGTGTGTAGAGCGACACGTTCATATTGGTGTTTTGCTCACCATCCTTGAATGCAGTACCAGTGATTGTTTCTTCATCAAATCAAATTTATTAAAACAACAGTTTTGATTGCTATGCAGTCTGGACACTTTTCTCATTTATGTTGGAAATTGCTGAGTCAGTGTTACCTGTCAGTGTCCAGACTGTGGAGAAGACTGCAGGTGTCCTTCTGACCTGACCACTCCTATGAGCACTCATAATGGGAAACATACCCATAAATGTAAGCTATGTGGGAAAGACTTCCTTTGTATGTCAACCCTCAAGAATCCTGTCTCAGCAATCACCAGTATTGAAGGGTATGAATTCAGCAAGTGGATGGAAATTTTCTGTAGTTTCTCACCAGTTAGGACACCTTTGGAAGGTCATTAATCCAAATGTAAAGAATGTTTTAGAATGCATACTAGTCTTTCATCTCTCACTTTAAACAATTACTCTAATAGGAGAGAGAAGCCTTCTGAATGTAATAAAGCAATTCCCAAGGTGTCCTCCCTCACTCTACATGTAAATAGTCACTGTGGAGAGATGCTTTATGAATGTAAAGAGTGTGGGGAAACTTTTAGAGATTCCTCAGACCTGAGTGCACATAGAAGAATCCACAGTGTAGAGAGTTCCTATGTGTATAAACAATGTGTAAAAGCCTTTATTTCTTCCACAGCCCTCACTGTACATATGCAAATTCATAGTGGAGAGAGACCCTATGAATGTAAGGAATGTGTGATAGCCTTTCTCCAAGCATCAAACCTCAGAACACACAGAAGAATCCACAGTGGAGAGAGGCCATATGAATGTAAGGAGTGTGGAAAATCCTTTACTCAAGGGTCAAGCCTCACAACACATAGAAGAATCCACAGTGGAGAGAGGCCATATAAATGTGAAGTATGTGGGAAAACCTTTGATAGTTACTCATCCCTCTATAAACATATGCAAACTCACAGTCCATAGAGGCCCCATGTATGTAAGGAATGTGGGACGGCCTTTAAGAATTCCTCACACCACATTACACATGTGCACACTCACAGTGGAGACCTCCTTTAATGTGTACACAGTGTGGGAAAGTGTACACTCATTGGTGACTGACAGGTAGTTAGTGAATCTTGAGAGGGAGCCCTCAGTTGTAATGATGGCTTGAGGATGGTTGATTTGGCCTTGGCCTCTGTTGTGCTTCCTCCAGACTTTAGTAAAACCATCTTGGAAGCACAGCTTTCTCAGTGCCCCATTTCAGTAGGAGAGTGGCCGGAGACCACATCCTCTGTCTGGGGTGCAGATGGTCTCCCAGCACCTTCCCTGGTCTCATCCGTGCTTCCTGCCCATCACAATGCTTTGCAGCCCTGTAGTACCTCTATCTCCTGGAAGTTTGTGAGAAATACAGAGTGGTGATTTCCAGGGTCTCTAAGCAGAGTCTCTGCCATTGCAGCGTCCTGCCCTCCACCAGCGGCACACTCGTCCCCTTTTTGTTTGCACTTGGCTTGGAATTAAAATTCCACCTGTATATGTGAGTAGTGTTGCAGTCTGGAATGACGCCAAAATCCTGTCACACACACACACCCCCACTGCCTTAGCCCTGACTCTCCGCCATCCTTCTTCCATTTCAGCTGTGTGGTGTGGTCCTGAGGCAGGTGGGAGCTGTGTGTGTGTGGGGGGGGGGGGGTTTGGCGTCCATCTTGCACACCCCCTAAGTTATCAGGAAGGACTTCAGGTATTCTGACTGTGTGTGCAGACCACACATTAAGTATCTGTTCCCAAACTGCCCAGAGCTCAGCTTTCCCTTCGGACCTTCTTTCTGAATTGACCTTTGGTGATAGTGTCCTAGACCCCCATAAGGAGGAGCAAAGCAATGGTGAGTTTTGTAGGGATTAGGGTATGACTGGGAATTTAACTGATGGGAGTGGGTTTGGGTTTATTGACAACTGGGCCATCTTTCCTCTCACTGTGTGAGGCTTGGTAAAAATTTCTTTGGGGATCACTGTTGTGTGAGGGGCTGTAGTTCCTCAGTGAAGAATAAAGGTGGCAGATAAGGCCTAGGGACTGAGCCCTAGCAGGCACCCTGAGATCCTGTTCCTCAGTTAC